TAATCACGTTCCGAAAATTTCCGTTTTGATGTACAACTTTTCTTTGATCTTTCTCACAAGGGGTCTTAGATGAAACTGAAATGCGAGCTACATATATGCTTAACTAAAAGCGTCACTGAAGTTACGTCAATCAAAACTGAAATAATTCCACAGCTTTACCGGAAGCTGTTACATGGCTCCCCTAAATTAATTCCTTAATTTATCGTAATTCTGTGCTAATTTATTGCAAATAAGAACAGAAACTTCCTTATTGTTCGGCTTATTAATGGTTTTAAAGTCCAAGGTCCATTAATACTGGATTCTCCGGTCTTTACTCATCTTCTGCAGACATCAGCAACACCAGTTTGTGGATAGGCCTTTCCAAAGTTGCTAAGGGCTGGCTTCTCTTTCCGCTCGATGCTAGGTTCCGGTTGCCAACTTCAAGCTTCACTTTGCGTACCAGTCCATCTTCATCCGGCAGAGCCTCAACAATACGGCACACTCTCCACTGGTTTCTAGGTACGTCATCTTCCTTAATGATAACGACATCATTTACTTGGAGATTTTTCCTGGGTTTGGTCCACTTTTGTCGTTCTTGCAAAGAAAGGAGAAATTCCTTTTTCCACCGAAGCCAGAATTCATTTGTGAGGTGCTGCACACGTCGCCACCATTTCTTTGAGTAGAGGTCGGCAGACTTGAATATCCCTGGCGGAGGTACCACAACCTTTGTCTTCAAAGTAAGGAAGTGATTTGGGGTCAGCGCTTCTGCAGATCCTGGTGATGTGATGCTTTCTGCTGTTAGGGGTCGACTATTAACCACTGCCTCTGCTTCGCACATGAAGGTACGTAAAGCTTCATCATTCATTTGCTGACCGTTGCTTTCTAGCAGGGCTGAGAGCACACTCCTAACGCTTCGAATCTGGCGCTCCCAGATTCCACCCATGTGGCTGGCAGAAGGGACGTTAAATTTGACTTCAAACCAATCACAGTTTTCTTTCAACATCTCTACTTTCACTTGATCTCGATCCATTTCGGCTAGCGCTTCCTTTAATTCTCTTCGTGCTCCAATGAAGTTCGAACCATTGTCGCTACGCATCTGGCGCACGGGACCACGTCTGCATATAAAGCGGCGAAGAGCGTTAATGTACGAGTCCGTTTCCAAAGAGTTGGCTACTTCTAGGTGAATCGCTCTTGTGACTAGACATGTGAATAGAACTCCATACCGCTTGAGTTCCTTGCGTCCTTCTTTCACGTACCAAGGGCCAAAATAGTCCACTCCACAGTATGTAAAAGGAGGGGTAGGTGTTAGCCTGTCCTCTGGAAGATCCGCCATTTTCTGCTCTTGTACCTTTGCTCTGAGTCTCCTACAGGTAACGCATTCGTGGATCATTCTAGAGACCACTGTACCACCACCTATGATCCAGAAGCTTGAAGACCGGATCTCATTGAGGGTGATCCCCTTTCCTTGATGCAGGGCTTTCTCATGGCAGTGACTGGCTAGGATCTTGGTGATGTGACCTTGTCCTGGTAGGACAACAGGGTGCTTTGTGTCTTGCGATAGGCTTGCTTGTCTGATGCGACCACCAACTCTCACCAGATCATTCAGATCTCGAAATGGATCTAAACGAAAGAGTGGGCTTGATCCCTTTGCTTCTCCCCTTGTGGTCGGGTTCTTCAGTTTGCTTATTTCTTCCTTAAAAGCCTCCTTCTGTACATGTCTGATTATTTCTCGTTCTGCTGCATTTAACTCTTCTACGTTTACTGAGTTGTACTCGCGTGCTGCAGATCTTGTCTTAACTCCTTCTGTAGTCATCTGGTTTCCACGAACTTGATTCAGTAGAATTCTTAGATACCGCAAACACACTGCTACTGCGCGCTTCGTTCTAAACCAGCTTGAAAAGCTTTCCAGGTGTTGAAGCAGGGTGGCGGGTTCTTCCTTGTTCGAAACGCTTGTGGCTAATGATGATGCTTTCTTTACTTCTTTGTCGTCTAGCTGGAGGGGTTCGGGTGCACTCTTATTAAAGTCCCTCCAGTTGCCATGGTGTTCCCACAGAAAGGAAGGTCCTTGTAACCATCTTGAAGATTGCAGGAGGTCTTTGGGACTGAGACCACGAGAAGCGTCGTCGGCGGGGTTGTTTTTTCCGTCAACGTAATGCCACTGTTGTGGTAGGGTCCGCTCCCTAATCTGTTGCACTCGGTTCGCAACGAACGTATGGAAGCGGCGTGCATCGTTCTGGATGTAGGCCTGGACCACTTTACTATCGGCCCAGAACACTTCTTCTAGTTCATCATATTGGAGCTCTCGTCTCAGCATGTCGCTAACTCTGACGGACACCACGGCGGCCGTTAGCTCAAGGCGCGGTATAGTGATCGGCTTTAAAGGAGTCACACGTGCTTTCCCCATCACCAGTGAGCAGTTAACTTCGTCGCTTGTGTCTACCAAACGGAGGTAAGAGCATAGGCGTACGGGCAATTTTTTCCAGGGGGGGCGGTAATCCATTTGCCCAAAAAATTCTTGCAAGTTGCCCAAATTTTTACAAAACAGTCGAAAGGACACTAGGGCCATGCAACAAAATAGGCCGTACTGGCATATGAAAGTGGCTCGATACAGTTTTTCAGAGTCAATACCTGCCAAGTTTGAGCATAAACTACGTCGCCACAAACAAGCATTTGGAAAAAATTGCCACCACAGTTGTATTAGATAAAGAGGGAAATTTGTCATGATCAGGATTGCAATGACATCGGAGCTGTCATAGCAACGAAATGACGCCATTACCTATTATACTTGCAGCAATATTTCTCACTGGGAACTGTTCTTACAAAATCGTTCAGGGAAGCTCTTTCCTCCAATAGTCGCCTCGATGTTCGTGAAGTTAAAACGGAACTGTAAGAGCGTTATCGAGATATTTTGGGATGAAGTTTTTATAGTTAAAAATAAGGTAAAAAAGGAAAATCTTGATGTTTAGAAAACGGAGTTTCAATCTTATTAAAAACGTGTATGAAAGATCATGGAGATAGCTCCTGCCAATTGCTATAAGGAAGGATTTGATTAGCGCTCGATCTTGTTAGGGGTTTCGTAAACATTTCGGTCTACTTAAACAAATTAGTGAATAATTTTTAAACCCTCGATAGATTTTTTTAAGAAAATTATGATTCTTCTCGTAATTCAAACTGAGAATTAGTCAGCCACTTCACTTTCAGACCCATTGCTGAAGCGTGTTCTGCCACACACTGTTCTAGGAGCGGAGGTGATTCTAGAAAGTTATGCGGAAGTTTATTCTAATCAATTCATGACTGGAAATAGCCCACTCCAACTAGTACAGTGAAGTACAGTGACCAACAACAACAACAACAAAATCAGCATATGATACCCTTCCCTTATAACCAGAAACTCATCACGTGCTAGGCAACCACTGTCTCGTGTGAACGTAACTGAATTATTACGCCGACTTCTGGTTAAAATAGAAAATATTTATGTCTTCAAAATATAATAATAATAAAAAACATGGAAACGTCTTTAAAAACTGGCTTTGCCCAAGTTTTCTCTTGCTGCCCAAAAAATCTGAGTTGCCCAAACTTTGGGGGGGCTGCAGCCCCCCTCGCCCCCCCGGCCCGTACGCCTATGGGTAAGAGCACTGGCCATATCCTTCGGTGCGTGCATCCGAGAAGTGATGTAGCTCGATCTTCTTGAGGCCGTTCATTCCCGTTAGCTTGAAGCATCTTGGAACTTCCATCGTCTCTAACAGGGGAAGTTCGTTTCTCCACATCTCCCACTGCGTTCGTAGTTCATCGGGTATAGCGTCGTCCCAGTCTAAGTTTTCCTTGCATAGCAGCTGTAGTATTCTTTTGCCTCGGAACAGAAAGGGGGAAGCAAACCCAAGCGGGTCGTAGATTGAGCTTACTGTCGATAGGATGCCACGCCTCGTCAGTGGTTTGTCTTTAAGGGTGATGCGGAACTTGAAAACGTCGTTCTCAATGTTCCATTCCACGCCAAGTACGCGCTCGGGAGGAAGTAGGTCGCAGTTTAGGTCAATTTCTTTGATCTCTTTTGCACGTGACTCTACGGGTATGGACTCGACAACCTCTTTGCTGTTTGACGTGAATTTGTGAAGTTTGAAACCGCCTCTCATGCACATCTCAGTGGCGTTCTTGATCAATTTGGTAGCCTCTGGTACCGTTGGGACTGACCTTAACCCATCGTCAACGTAAAAATTTTCCTTAATGAAAGAGGCTGCTTCAACTCCTAGGTCGTCTTTACTATCATCAGCGGCAGTTCTTAGTGCTAGATTAGCACAGCCAGGAGAAGAGGTGGCACCAAACAGGTGTACAGTCATTCGATACTTTGTTGGTTCCTTTGTGGTGTCTCCTTGGTCCCACCAGAGAAAGCGGAGAAGGTCGCGATGCTCCTCATTGACGTGGACCTGGTGGAACATACCCTCGATATCACAGGCGAATGCCACAGGTTCCTGTCTGAAACGGCACAGTACACCAATCAGCGTGTTTGTCAGATCAGGTCCTTGTAGGAGATGGCGATTAAGAGAATGGCCCTGGAACTCTGCTGAACAGTCAAAGACGACGCGCAGTTTCTCCGGCTTTTTAGGGTGATACACCCCATGATGAGGAATATACCACGCTCTCTCATACTGATTTGGAGCCTTCTCTGCATGGCCGTCTGCTATCATCTTCTCCATGAATGTTACGTAATCTTGCTTGTACTTTGGGTCGTTTTCAAGTCTTCTCTTTAACTGCTTCAATCTAGCTTCAGCAAGTTTTCTGTTGCATGGTAAGCGGACGTTTTCGTCGGGAAGCGGTAGGGGGGTTTCATAGTGTCCGTTATCTGCCTTGTGAATGCCGTCAACGGTTATATTCATAAACTTTAGATCTTCTTGGGACATTGTTAAGTTAAGGTCTTGCGTCTCCGAAAAGTCCTGTTCAAACATTCTCTTTATAGACGATGGAGCTAAGATTTCTTTGCAGCTCTGTAAAGGGACAAACAGGCCAGTGGATTGTTCATTACCTACTTCCTTTGTTGCGGTGCAATAGCACTCGGCTCCTTCCCCAGTGCCGTCTGTTCGGTTTCCGTGGCCCTTTGCTCCTACCACCCCCCATCCACGTATCGTTCGTATTGCGTAAGGGTCGTTTGATTTTCCAGGTACTACAGATCTTGGCTTTAAGGCACGCGCACAGTTGTTACCAATCAGTAATCCAATGCTCAACTGCTCATCATACGGCGGTATCTCGTCTGCAATTGTCTTCAGATGCTCGTGCTTACGGGCGGTTTCAGGGTGAGGAATCTGTCCACGCAGGCCTGGTATAAGATTTCTTGTGTACGCTTTGGGGAGGGGTATATCAACCTGACCGTCGAAGCGTGATACGATCAGCCCTTCAATTTTCTGTGTGTCAATGTTCTCTACGGCGTGCATGGTACCCAGCTCTAACTTTACGGCAGGACCGGTTACCCCAAGGCTTTTCGTTATGTCGTCTGTAATGAAACAGGTATCGCTTTGGTCGTCTAACACGGCATATACTTTAACTCGGCGATCTGGGTCGTCCTTGTGGTGGATCAACACCGGGAGAATCATGGAGGTTGTAGTGTCACTACAGCTCACACAGTTATTCGTGGCCTTTACGGTTTCCTTTGCCTTTTCTTCGTTTTTCTGTTCCGGCAAGAGGCGATGCAAAACGGTTGCATGTGGTTTCTTGCACAACTCGCACAGGGTCTTACGTTTACATTGTCTTGCTGTATGGCGAGGGCCGAGACAGGAAGAAGCATAATCCTTTAGACATGCAAAGGTCTTGTCTTTCCTTGACTGTCTTTTCTAGAAAGTTCTTGCATGTTACGAGACTGCGTCTTCCTTTGCACAACGGACAGAAACTCGCTTTCTCGGGATCTTCACGAGAGGATTCGTCGCTCAGATTGAAATGGGTGGTGCCTCGTCCCCTCTTCTTATCTTTTCTTTCGGAGTTCCATTTCGCTTTGTCAGCGGAGTGGTTCCTTTCTCTCTCGAGTTCTTTCCTTGTTGAGGTCAGAGCATCATGCGAGAACACAGGATGATTGGCGTCGAGGGATGATTCTTGAGTAAACTCAACGAAATTTGCAAAGGTGTATTCGCCGTACCTCGCCTCTACTTTCTTCGCATTTTCTCTCCACTTGTTACTGTAGTGGTTGGGTAAGCGGGCCGCGAGCTCTCTAATCGTGGAATAACTCTGGAGTTCCTTTAGGTACTTGACGGATTTCATAGTTTCTTGAGTCATGACAAAGAAGTCGCTGAATTCTTGGAGTTCTGTACTGGTCACGCAGGGCGGCCAGTTTCTTAGTTTATCCCTGTAGGCTTCGTAGATTCTGAAGGGGTCTCCGAAGCGTTCTTTCAGTATTTTTCTAGCTCTCTTATAAGCGTCTTCTGTCCGCAGTCCTAACAAGCCGCTGATCGTCTTTTGTGCAGCTCCGCTGGTGTACTCGCGAAGATAATAGAGCTTGTAGTTGGGAAGAACGACTTGGTCTTCTATCAGTGCGTCAAAGGCGTTTTCCCATTTTGGATACTGTAAAATGTTTCCGTAAAATACTGGGGGCTTCGGAACTGGGACGGTCATCCTTCGTAGCAGTTCAACTTGCGTTTTCTGAATTTTAGCGTTCTCTTCCTGAATGCGCCAAAGCTGAGAACTATATTGCTCGGAGGATTCAGTCGTCGCTGCCGATTGTACGACGTCTCGGGGAACAAAGGCGGGCGTGTTAACGTCGAGTCGCAAGGGAAATTTAAGCGAACTTCTTGTGGTTGTACTCGAGATTTGTGCGTTTTCGTCGCATGATTGAGGTGGCGTCGTAGCCGGAAACTCTTTATCTTGTCCATTAGATTTCTCAGGGCTACTTGTATCCCCTTGAGGTTGAATAGGGGAATTGAAGGCGGTGTCCTTTGGCTGCCTTTGTTTTTCTGTTGGGTCCACAGAATTTGATGCTTTTTGTAGAGTTATGGTGTCGTTCAATTCGGATTGTTGAAGTATTTTCTGAATTGCTTCAGCCGCGGAAAGTTCTCCATGTAGCTTTTCTTCCTCATTTAGACGCTCTAGCTCCTTTTCTTGCTGTTTTAATTCGTCTCGCCGCCTGTCGATTTCCTGGAGCCTTTTCAGAGAATCTAATTTCGCTTTGAACTTTGCAGTTTCGATTGCCGCGCGCTTTGAAGAGGAGGTTGAAGACGATCGAAACGATGATGGAGATTTTTTGGAGCGCTGTGATCTTTGCGAGAGGAGTTCGACTCTTTCTATTTCTTGGTCCTTTATTCTTATTTTGATGTCTGCTAAGCACTCCAATGCGGCATCATTTAACGCGACATATCGGTCATGTTCCCTTTGTTCTCTTTCATTGAGCTCTAATCTAATTAGCAAATCAATCAAGTTTTCATGTACCGTCTTCAAGTTGTCCAGTTCAGCTTGTAAACCGTCTTTGGAAGCGTTAAGTTTTACTAGATCCGCTGGTTCTCGTAAGGATTCATAGGCCGCATCTATGCGCGATTGTACATCTTTCGCTGCTCTTTCTTGTTTCTTTGCACCGATTTCTAGGTCAAATTCTAAGCCTCTTTCGGTGCAGTTTCTACTGCGACGTTCCGATCGTTCTTCACATTCTTTCGCATCGATGTGGCTATTTTCTTTACTTTCTTTGCTGTAACCATGTGCACCTTCAAATGTGTTAGCTTCTTCGCTATTTTCTACTTTATCGGAATCCATTATCTAATTCCAGTTCATAACTTGTCATGTGAATTTCCTTTCAAATGATTTGAGTTCTTTGAGTTCACTTAACCCTCGTTGTTGACTGTAACGGGATCTTATTTAATTCTCGGTACCCGTGTTGTGTTACGCGCTAGTTCAATGTTCATAAAGGTTCAATTGACCAAAAGGATCGCTTTCTTCCAACTTCTTTATTTCTTTGGTCTTTACACTGAAGTGAAGCGGTCAACTGAAATGATTACGTTAAGAAATAGTCTAAGTATTGTTACGTTCACAGCCTGATCATAATTATAATTGCTCAATGCGCACGTGGTACATGTAATGAAAATTAACAGCACAAGAAACTAGCGACAATCTCAATGT